GACAAATGTTTCTTTGTGGGCTATCCAAAAGAAACAAAAGGGTATTACTTCTACAATCGCGAAGATAACAAAGTGTTTGTTGCTCGCAATGGTGTCTTTCTAGAAAAGGTATTCCTATCTAGAAAGCCAAGTGGGAGTAAAGTGGTTCTCGAAGAAATTCGAGACGAGCAACAAATGGATGTGGATAACACCACATCAGAGGCGAGGGTGCATGAGTCGATTAATCATGCGTCGGAGCAAGCTAATTCGACTAGCGAGACTCCTATCGTCCTACTTGAACCTAGTTCTTGCGAAAATCTTCAAGGAGTTAGAGAGAATATTTCTATTGTTGCTCCTACCCCACGTAGGTCTGCCAGAATAAAAATCAAACAGTTTGTTGAGGTTCTGATAACTGAGGATTCTGAAATCTTCTTATTGGAAAATGAAGAACCCACAACCTACAAGCAAGCTTTGGCGAGCCCCAACTCAGACAAATGGCTTGAAGCCATGAAGTCCGAAATGGAATCAATGTCTGAAAATGAAGTGTGGACCCTAGTTGACTTGCCTGAAGGGGTAAAACCTATTGGATGCAAATGGGTTTACAAAATTAAAACAGACAAGGATGGAAATGCCTACATCCATAAAGCAAGAGTGGTTGCAAAAGGATACAGATAGATTCATGGTATTGACTATGATGAAACCTTTTCCCCAGTAGCCATGCTTAAGTCCATTCGGATTCTTCTAGCGATTGCTGCATTTTTCGATTACGAAATTTGGCAGATGGATGTCAGAACTGCCTTCTTGAATGGGTTCTTGACGGAGGAAGTTTATATGATACAACCTGAGGGTTTTGAAGATCCAGAAAATCCTAGATAGGTATGCAAACTTCAGAAATCCATTTATGGATTGAAGCAAGCATCCAGGAGTTGGAATCTTCGTTTTGATAAAGCAATCAAACAGTTTGATTTTGTCAAAAGTGAAGAGGAACCTTGTGTATACAAGAAGTCTAGTGGGAGCAGCATTGTTTTCTTAGTCTTGTATGTAGATGACATACTACTCATGGGAAATGACATACCAATGCTTGAGTCAGTCAAGGAATGGTTGAAGAGTTGTTTTTCCATGAAGGACTTAGGAGAGGCTGAATACATATTGGGGATCAAGATACATTGAGACAGATCTCGAAGGATGATTGGATTAAGTCAAGAAACTTATATTGATAAGGTTCTTAATAGGTATTCCATGAAAGACTCTAAGAGAGGATTTCTCCCCATGTCTCATGGCATTACGCTCAGTAAATCTCAATGCCCTAACACGCCAGAAGAGATGAGACGTATTGTTGATAAACCTTATCCTTCGGCAACAGGGTCAATCATGTATGACATGCTATGTACGAGGCCGGATGTTGCATATGCTCTGAGTATGTGTAGCAGGTTTCAGGAAAATCCAGGAGAAGCACACTGGACAGCTGCCAAGAACATCCTTAAGTACTTGAGAAGGACTAAAGGAATGTTTCTAGTATATGGTGGCGAAAATGAGTTGGTTGTCAAAGGTTATACTGATACGAGTTTCCAAACAGATAGAGATGATTTCAGATCACAATCTGGATACATTTTCTGTCTGAATGGAGGAGCAGTGAGCTGGAAGAGTTCGAAGCAAAGCACTGTCGCAGACTCTACAACAGAATCAGAATATTTAGCTGTTGTTGAAGCAGCTAAGGAAGCAGTTTGGATTAAGAAGTTCCTAACTGAGCTGGATATCATACCAAGTGCTCAAAAGGGAATCGAGTTGTATTGTGATAATAATGGCGCCATTGCTCAGTCAAAAGAGCCTAGGTCACACTTCAAATCCAAACATGTAGAGAGGAAATATTACCTCATTCGAGAGATCGTTGACAGAGGAGATGTCAAGATGTACAAAATTCGTACGGATGAGAACATTGCTGATCCACTTACTAAACCCCTTCCACTTCCAAAGCATGAGAAACATGCTAGTGAAACTGGATTGAGGCAAATGATGTAATTAGAAGTTGTATTTATTTTTGGAGAAAAATAAGTTACATATGTAATACATCCATTTGCAGAATTATGTTTAAACAGAAATTTTATTATTTCTCCTATTTAATGATGGTTTTCAATATTAAATAAAATGTCCAAAGTAATTATGGATTGATGGGCTCATCAGGTTGATGACCTAGTGAATGAAACCCCACAGGTGAACAAAATCCATATATTATTTAAAGTTCCTAGTTCAGAATCATTAAATTGGACATAAATGATTTCTAATAATGGACTAGCATGTAAGATTGATTGGACAGCGCAGTTTCATGGGCTATAGGAGCATAGTGAGGCTCGGTCAATCACATGGATATTCATGAATGATGCATGATCGAACTATAGACCTACTTTGAAGTTCAAGTATAGAACTTACGGATATATTAGTGGATTCCTTGGAACATTGATTTCATTCAATGGATGTTATAGCTGTGGTACACTCAAACGTCTGCCTGTAACTGGAGATTATAAAGGGTGTTTCCCGGTTATTTCAGAAATTGAGTGGGAGCTTTGGTTGCCACAAGATTGAATTGAGTCTACCTATTTAATTAGGAATATGTCTTGACCCCTTGAAGAGGGAGAATTCAGAAAAATGCATGGCCGTGCTCAAATGGATTACATAGTAATCATTTGTTTTGTAATTCTCACTCAGTTTTCAAGAAAAAAATTGTCGACTAATATGATCACAACATGAGATGCAATCATATTATCAAATCGACACACATTGACTTAAGGAATTTGAATATTGCGCACTTGTCTCAGACAAGTGGGAGATTGAAGGAGTTATGTCTTCGATAAGTGCAATTACTAGATATATCAGAGATCACTATTATGGAGATAATAAGTTCATTCTATAGGGTCGTCAATGTTTGGTGCTAGATATGACAATTGATCTTTGGGCTAGCTTAATGGCCCAAAGCCTTATAGAATGGATCCTACAAGGTCACACATAAGAGTATTGGGTTAAACAAGTTAGAGGCCCATTATTGGGCCTCATGAGTTCATGGCATACCATATTGATGATTGGGCTTGGATAGTTAGAAGAGTCTAATGGGTTTTGGATTTGACATGGTTTTATTTCTAGATATGATCTATAAATATAAACCATGCCTAGGGTTGCAAGATAGAACAATTGACATACAGTAAATTGTCACATAAGCAACCAAGTATCCCAAAACCCTAGTTCTCTCTCTCTCTATTCGGCCCTCTCTCTCTCTCTCCTCCCTATCCGTACGGCTCTCCCTTGCGGGCGGCGCGTGTGGTGGTGCGCGGGTGGTGGTGTGGTGTGTTCGTGACTCGGATCTCCGTTGAAGGTTGATTGAAGCGTTCAGTCACAACTAACTAGCATTAGTGGAGGTTTAATCCGTGCTCGTGGACTAAGTAGAGGAATCACACGTGGGGTTCTTGTTCTCCTTATTGTTCTTGCTCGATCACTTATGGAATCACGCTTCAAAGGTATTTTTTTTACTTTTTATGTGTTATTCATGAGATCCTTGGTTAGGTGCTATATGAGTATGATTCATGATTATTTCCGCTGCGTAGTACCTATAATCCCTTTCAGGAGCCTCTTCATCGGAACCACTCTCCTCCAAATCCCTCTGTTCCCCGTCGGGAACAACCTCATCGACTGGCACTTCCATAGTGCGCCAGCTCCTAGACCGTCTGGCCGTCTGTTTCGTTCTGGCCATTGTGTCCTGCACAGACACAGAGAGGGAGGAATTCGGAGATGAGCATATCGGTTCCGACAGTCCAGAAAAGGCACCCCCTGTTCTAGACTCAGCCGTTCCGGGGGACCGGCTGAGTGTCCTAGGCAGTGCTGAGTGAGTGGATTGAGAACTCATTTATATTTTCTAAAAACTAGGTATACAGGCGGAGAAAAAATTGTATACAAGTTGAAAAGGAGAAAAGCTAAAATGGTACAGGCGGTTACCTTACTTTTACACTGAAAAATTTGAAAACCGCTACAACCGGTAAGCCGGGTGTTGAACTTCTAGCACACGGAAACTTGAAACTATTTTGATGCAGACGGAGGCAGAGAATTTCTCTCTAAAAGCTCTCTCTTTCTCTCTCTAAAAAGTCAAAATGAGCGTAAGGTGAGAGAAAGGGGGGGGGGGTAAACTTCTATTTATAGAAGGTGAAAGCGGGGGGAAACTTTGATTTGAAATTTAAATTTTACTACCCGATACTGTTCACCTTTGAAAGGTGGACACGTGTCACAGGCCCCACGTGATATGCACGTGCGCCCTGTGAGGGGCAAATGTTTAGGGTAAAAATACCCTAGACACGAGGACCAATGAGAGGAGGTCACGTGTCGAGTTCAGGATGGCCCACGTGGCTTAATATCCTCTTGACACGTGGCCCCCTTAGATACATTTCTGAAATGGCGGCCTTCAAGGGCCCAAATCCCAAGAAGCGCCGTAAAACGGCGCAGCCCACTAAAATTTAGGTCAAATGACCTAGATACGGGCACGTTCTCCAATGACCCTATAAATAGGGAGATATTTTCCCATTTTGGGGACACATTCAATCATTTATTACACCTACATTTTCTCTCACATCAGAGAAACACATGAGCTTGGAATCCAAGCAGATCCCCACCTAAATTTACGTACTCTTTATTCCCTTTCAAGTTACTAACTTGATCGTCGGAGGCGGAGCTCCTACCACCCGGAGTCTCCGTTGTTTCACTAGTAGAAAATATCAAAATGGCACCCCCTAATTGGCACCGGTTCAGTCCAAGCCGGTGCCAAAAATGGCCTACAAAATTGGTGGGAAGCTAAACCAGAGTAAAAGGCACCGGTTCACTTCAAACCGGTGCCAAAAACATAAAGGCCACCGGTTTGAACCGGTGCCTTTTGAACCGGAGCAATTAAAATTAAAAAAAAAAAACCGGCCCTATAAAACCCCCCCAACCCTAATTTTTACACTCCTCTCAGCCGTTTCTCTTTCTCTCTCCTCCTCTCTTCCTCTTTCTTTCTCCTCTCCTCCTCTTTCTCGATCTCCTTCTCCTCCTTCTATTTCTCTTCCCTCATCTCCTTCTCCCTCATCTCCTTCTCCCTTCTTGCATTCGAAGAATTCCAACATGCAATAGGTTTTTTTTATTTTATTTTGATTATTATTTTTGATTTCTGGTTCTTTTTTATTCGAATTTAATAGGTTTTTTTTTTCGATTTTGATTTATTTTTCTTCGATTTCTGGGTAATTGTTTTTCGATTTCATTTTTGGGTATTTGTTTTTCGATTTCATTTCTAGGTATTTGTTTTTCGATTTCTGGGTATTATTATTGTTTTTCGATTTTGATTCATTTTTCGATTATTATTTTTTTTTCGATTTCTGGGTATTTTTTCGTTTTTTTTTAATTTTCTGGGTTTTAATTTTTTTCGATTTTAATTTTTTTCGATTTTCTGGGTTTTAATTTAATTTTTTCTTCATTTTCTGGATTTTCTCGATTTTCTAGATTTTCAACTAATTTTCGATTTTAAATTTTTCGTTTTTCTGGGTTTTAAATCCTTTCGATTTTAATTTTTTCGATTTTTTTTAATTTTCTGGGTTTTAAACTAGCTTTCGATTTTAATTTTTTTCGATTTTCTGGGTTTTAATTTAATTTTTCTTCATTTTCTGGATTTTCAACTAATTTTCGATTTTTATTTTTTTCAATTTTCTGGGTTTTAAGTTTTTTTTCGATTTTAATTTTTTCGATTTTTTTTAATTTTCTAGGTTTTTAACTAATTTTAATTTCGCAGCTAATACATTTTAATTGATTTTTTTGGATGAACTAATTGGCGCAGGTATACTATCTTCTTTGCAAGCCCAAAATATTGCACATAATCGAAGAATCAAGAGTCAAGAATCAAGAATATTGATTTAGATGTTTGGGGTTTTTTTTATTGTGATGTTGTAATATTTTTTTTTGATTTATATTGTAGTTCTTTTTTATTTATTTATATGTGGTAATTGTTTAATTTTATAATTCGTATATTGTAATTTTTCTTGATTATATACTGTAAATTTTCGGTTATATTCAATGATATTCAATTTTGTTGTTCTTATTTATTTTAGTCCATTTGATTTTTAAGTACAAAATGACAACAAAAAAAAAAAAAAAATTTTTGGGGTTTTTTGGTACTTGTTAACCGGTGCCAAAAACTTTGAAATAATTTTTGTGGGCTTTTTTGGCACCGGTTAACCGGTGCCAATTTTGAACCGGTGCCTTTTTAAACCCCTTTTTGGCACTCCCCACATTGGAACCGGTTCAAATCGGTGCCTTAGGTCGGGTTTGAACCGGTGCCAAATTCATTTTTTCACGTAGTGTCTTGCAGGTACAACTCAGCCGGATCAGACTTCGTGACGTAACTCTCCCGAGGGACAAAAACACCCAAAACAACATTCATTAAAAAGTCAATTAAAATTTATCAAATTGTGAAATTCACTGATTATAAGATCTAAAAAGTCAATTACAATTTTAGCCCAAATCTAGCCTAATTAAAACTAATTAAAAATCAACGATACAAAAACTATATTAAATAACAACCAAATCCATAATATTGTAGAAAATTGAGGAAAAAGAAAATGATGACGATCGCGACGAAGATGATGGAGAATGCTACAATGGTTTTAAAATAGGAGGATAAAGAAGTTTACAAATTGAAGGAAAGTGAGGTAAAAAATATTTACTTATAAGGAAAGAAAAAAGAAAGAGGAGAGAGAAAATTTAGAATGGAGAAGAAAACAAAGAGAGAAAATTAATGGAGGTAAGGAAGAAGAAAGAGAAAGAGATAAATATAAAGAGGGGAGAAGAAAACAGAGAGAGAAATTTAATGGAGGTTACGCATATCGTTGTCTCAATATTAATACTTCATTTACAATATGTGTATTAATTTCGTTTACAGTATAAGAGTCTGTTCACATTTACTAAATTGAGCTGAACTGTAATGAGCTGAACTGAATAGAGGTGAAAAGAATATTTTATGAGAGAAGAAAATTAAGAGTTAAATTGAACTGATTGGAGTTGAACTGAACTGATTGGAGCTGAACTGAACTGAACTGATTGGGGTTGAACTGAATGAACTAAAATAATTAAGTTGAAATGAATAAGCCCTAATTCATTCAAATACTTTATGTGTAATCATGTTCAATAAAAAAATTTAAATCATTTTATTCTTAAACATTCTAATGTCTTTTATTTAATTTTTTTTTTATTATTCTAAAATACTTGAGATGGCAAACGTCTCGTGTCGTGTCATGTTGACCCATTTAATTATAAGTGTTATAACTTATAAGCCTTTGACACTAACTCGATTTTTTCGTGCCGTATCGTGTGATTGTGTCAACTTTTATCAACTCTATAAAATACAACTAGTGTGTGTCTTGGGCGATGCCCCGGATACTAGTTTGTACTTTTTTTTCCTTCAAAAAAAAGTAAAAAAAAAATAATAATTAAAAAAAGTGACATCCGAGACAACGCCAAATCACACACTAGATGTATTTATTTTCTAATCTTGTGAAAAATAAATAAATTAAATAACCTCTAATTTAAAAGGAATATATAATGTTAAATACGGAGTATGTGAAATTTAAAATATTAATAAAAGTTGGTTAATATGGTAAGTGTTTAACATTTATTTGTTTGAGATGGAGGGTTTTTTTTTTACGATTTGAATCTAAATAAAACCATATAGATAGGTATTTATTTATATGTTGACGACTTGACGGAAGGTATTTATTTCTGGAAAGCAAAGAATAAAATTGAAAAAAAAAAATTGTGGTTGCAACAGAATGGACCTACATTGTGAGATTCAGAATCTACGAATATGAACGAAATACAAATACAAACTATCCACCGTTAATCAACTCAACTTCAAAATTCATAGATACCGTTAATTTCCCACTGAAATGTTAGTTTCTCCATTTTTCTCTTACTTCACGTCTTTAACAACCAAAATCCCTTATTCCCAAATTCCTAAATCTCTAATTTCAATCAAATCCCCCAATTTCCGTAATCAAATTCAAAGATTATCTTCGAGCTTGGATTTTTGGATGAAATTATGAGCCATTTGAGGTCAATTTGCCGACCAAATGCTGTGGTTTCTTCCTTTGTATGTTGTTGCAGAATTAGGGTTCATATTTTTGGCGCCAAATCATCATCTAGGGTTCCTTTTTCAAAACCTAGTTTAAGCTCGTTTCCTTCTCTTTCCTCCGATTCGTCGGACTTTTATCGGAGTGAGCCATGGTTGCGTTTGAATCATCGGAGATATGTTGCTCGTGCTTCCAATTGGACCGGCGAGAAATCTCCCTACGATGTTCTTGGTGAGTGTTTCTTTTATTCGATTACTTTCGTTTCGTGATTTTTGCTTTTGGTGTAGGGAGAGCCACGAAATTTGATGTAGACGAGATTTGATGATAGGAGTACTATGATAGCTAGCATACATTCTTTCATTTTGTGATTAAATGACCTTTTTTAATCTATTGATTATAATTTGTGATTGATTTAACAAGCTATGTTAGGTTGTTAAGGAAATTTTGGAAATTAATTATCTGCTGATTCGATCATGGAAATGTATTGTTGATTCGTAGGATAGAATTGGCATTGTACTTTTCGATTAAGCTCGGATATGTTATGTAATAGAGGATAGTGAAGTTCAATTTGCGGCTAAAATAAGTTTTGATTAGTTCAAGTAAGTTCATATATGCTCCAATTAAGTTTCGGTAAGTGAATTTCAAGTGAAATGAGCGAAGTCGTAGACTTTTGCTAGTGGCAATTGGCAGGTTTGTGGTGAAAGTTGGAAAATAAAAGTGAAGTTCATGTTTGAAAATCTAGGAGATAGTGAGGAATGTGTTAAACTTATTTTATATACGCCTCTTTTGGTTTGATGTAAAATGTTATCATGAAAAATGATTTTCCTATTTTTTTCCCCATTTTCCTTTGTTTGGTTTGTGAAGGGGCGGAAAACAATTATGCCATTAGTGGAATATTGCATCCATGAGAGAAGCCACATTTTCCTTCCTTCTCCTTATCTCTTTTTTACTTTCGCTCCTTACATTTCCATTCCTATTTTTAATTTCTCTTTACTTTTTTTTTTGTAAGAACCAAACAAAGGAAAACAATCTTGCAAATATGGTTTTTCTTGAAAATATGTTTTTCGTGAAAACTAATTTTTCATTGAAAATGTTTTACTTCAAACCAAAGAGGGTAATGTGAGATGGCATCTTATTCTTATTTGACTATTTGTTTCTTATTTTGTGGCGTAATGTTTGATTGTCTAATTGCTATCTCTTCTCTTTGTGTTACAGAGCTAGAGAGGGATGCAGATGAAGACCAAGTAAAAGTTGCTTATAGGCGCCTCGCCAAATATTATCATCCTGATGGTTTGTTTCTCTAGTCCTTACCTTGATTTTTCTTTCTTGATTTGATGCTTGTTTCTGGTTGTGTCAGTGAAAAACTATTCATTTACTTGGTTATACACTTATACTGTTGAATGCAATGCAGAGGTCTCAGCCTCTCAGTTATAATTTGTTTTAAGAATTGGGGATAAGCTATTTTAATTATTTGTAAGCTACTAGTTGAGGCACAATTGTCAATTTGTCATACAAAAAAGTTTCATGTAGTTTTTATGCTTTGCAAAGTTAAAGCCGTTTTCAGCTGGTGGATGGTGCTTAACTGAACAAAATATTGTGCTGTCATATTTATATTCTGAGTTTTTTTTGTTGTTGCTGATGGCTAGTTTTTAAATGTGAAGGCTTTTATACGAGTAATAAGATAAGTGCTGCATCTTTCAATACAGCACCTGAACAAATTATGAAAAATTTTGGTATTTGATAAGTAGCTGACTAGCAGGTGGATCCAATGCATACCCATACCCTGTTTGTCCAAGTCGAATTGTTGGTATTCTTTTCTGGTGGTTAATCGCTGTGTCTGAGTTCCTTAGCTTCTTGTAGTTTTTGTGATATTGGTGTTCCTTGGCTATATCATAATTTATGAATATTTTACTCAACCGTTGGTGTAACTGCAAACTGCTTTTTAAATTCATCGTGTCATTGTCTCAATATCATAAACTTTCACCACTTATGCATATAGGAGTAATTGGACCCACTTGGAATGGATTAGAGACACGATGTTATTCAAATGTTGATTTTATTTTCTACTGTCAAATTTCGGCAAAGGGTAGCTGCTTTCCCTATGCTAGTAACTTCGTTTAAGGAGTGCTTATAAAATATGGTCTGATCCATTATATCTCTTGTAGTCTATGATGGTAGAGGCAATCTTGAGGAAGGTGAAACAGCTGAAACCCGATTTATTAAAATTCAAGCAGCTTATGAGCTGCTTGTCGATGGAGAGAAGAGGAGAAATTATGACATGGAAAATCGAGTGAACCCTATGAAGGTGAAATTTGGCTTACTAAATTATTGAATGAGAGTTACTCTATTACGTACAAATAAATAAATTCTGTTGTCATACTTATTTTCTCTGTCGTTGTACTTTTTTTGCCTTTTGAAAAGTAGCAATATACTTATTCATTATTATGATTTCTATAGGCATCTGAAGCGTGGATGGAGTGGCTCATAAAAAAGCGAAAGGCATTTGACCAGCGGGGTGATATGGCAATTGCAGCATGGGCTGAGCAGCAGCAGCGTGAAATGAACTTGAGAGCACGTCAACGTGCTCGATCAAAGGTATTTTGTTTACTTTTCCTACTTTTGAATTGCAGTCAAAGACTATCTATGTCTTCTCCTAGAAGGATGATGTTGCTAATGTCCAAAAATTAAGATAAGTTAATTACAAATTAATGTAAGAGCAACTTTAAGATATTTCTATTGTGCTCCACCAAATACAAACTTTCTTTCCACCACTCCACTAGAGCCTGTAATATGCCATGCATTAGAGGACATATCCAATCTTTAAGATTGTCAAACACTCTAGCTTTAATATGCCATGCAACAAGATTTAGATAGGGAAAAAGAAAGTATTAAGGTTGAGTGTTACTATCTAGCAAGTATATGTAATATATCTACTTATCTAGCTTATATGCCCTTCGTTCCTAAACAATAGGCCACATTTTGAAAGTGAATTAGAATACCACAACTATAATTTCTTTTGTGCTATTTAAATTTTACTTTTATGTAGTGTTGTGACTTTATTTTATTGGAATCTTGGTTAAGGGTATATAAAGTAATGTGGCAATGTTTTAAAGTTACATGTTATGTACCTATTAAGTGACTGAATTATACAAGACATCCTAAAATATGAAAATCTTGCATACTCTGTATTATATAGGAATATTGAACATGTGATGGTAAATTAGTAAGGTTATTGCTTTGAAACCGTTGAGGCTTCTTTATTGCAACCAAATATTCAAGCATTTAGTGGACCCTTATCTTTTATATACAGTTACAGAGACATGTTATGTATTGTGAAATTATTCCTAATATAATGAGTTTCAGGTCGATCCTGAAGAAGAGAAGAGGATCCTGGCAAAGGAAAAGAAGGCATCTGTAGAAAACTTTCAGACAACTCTCAGGAGGCATACACTTGTTTTGAAGAAGCGAGACTTGATGCGCCGAAAGAAAGCCGAGGAGGAAAAGCAAAAAGAGATTCGCCGTCTGTTAGCCGCAGAGGGATTTGAATTGGAGGATGAGTAGGTAACTAGGTACATGTTTGTATGCAGTTTGTGTTCTTGTAGGTATTCAACTTATTATGTATACGTCTTCATTTATTGGCATAGTTGATAGTTCTTGTACAAAAATGTACATACATGCTGGAGAAGGCAAGCAGGGTATTTATTATAGAAAAAGAAAGGAAAGAAATGAAAAGGGGAGAATTCATGACATCTGAATTTATTGCTCTTTCACCACTGCTGAAAGACTGCAATCTTTTAGCAGCTTCTTGTTGTCTAGCTGAATTGCTTACCCTGTACGCAATCGCTACACGGTGCTGTCTCGGAGGAGACAGTCTAGCACTGTGTGCACCGTACTTTAAAACAACTATGCTCTAGTTTTGAAACGAGCATGACCCTAGTGTTATAAACAACCATATATCTTTAATATGTCAATAAAAACAGGAATAATTCAGTTGATGAACAAAAAACATGAGTACAACCCTAGTAAAAGCATCATTAAACACAAAACTATAATAATCTTACATCAAAATAACTATAATAAAGCTCATATTTTTCAAGTTTTTTTTTTTTTTTTTTTTTTTGGGGGAAACTTTCTGACAAGCATAGTTAAATGAAAGCATTAAAACAGTAGAGAGAAGAAAGAAGCAATGGAGTAGATGAATTAGTTAGAAGGAACATGGAAAAATTTGCCGTTGCACATGCATCTGTAAACAATAGGGCAAGACTCAGAAGCACATCTGAAGCTAACCATTACCCTCTTGCATGGGGAACAAACTCCACAAGCATGTGAGCAATCTGGCAAACTTGACCCCATTGGGTATACTTCTCTCCCCAACTCTTCTTTGCCGAGCCCCTATAAATGCATCAATAAAAAATATATATAAATATAAATAAAAAATAAATAAAATAAAAACCTATTACGAGTATAAAGCATAAAATCCCTCAGATAAGATAATCAATGTTCTATTTCCTTCATATTCACATAAAGCAAAGTTAAGAAAACAATAAATACGTTTAAATAAGTTCATATTAAATAAAAGTCAAAGTTTAAAATTAGAGGAATAGAACACATCGTTAATGTCTCTTTTCATTTTTTTGGGCATATATAAGCCCAAACTGCTCAATAGATAAACCATTTTAAAATCAGGGAGTTGCTAGTTTATAAGCTGCGTCCAATCAACTTTGTGAATGATGCACCATTGAATTTGTTTTGTTAAATTAACTTTAGAATTTCTGCATGAACTTTTATAAACACATATACTTCCTCCGTTTTTATTTTATTGCACCATTAGGACTTATACAATATTCGCTTATTCTTCTTTGACCATCATTTGTAATTAATCCATTAGAAAAACATAGTCATGTGAGATCTAGTTAGATTCGTCTCGAAATCTACTTTTCAATTATCAAATTTTTATAATTTTTACAAAAAGTATAATTGAAGATATTAATAGCTAAAGTAATACATTGGCAAGCGTGAAATATCTCTTGGTGCAATTAAAAAAAGAATGGAGGAAGTATAAGTTTTTAATCAAAATAAGTTGAACACATACATATGTTAACCTAACTCCATAGAGAAAAAACCACAAATTTACAAATTACAATTAAAAGGCTTGGACCATAGTTGGGGGGGGGGGGGGGGGGGGGGGGGGGGGGAAGAACATTATTGGTTATTAAGTTGTGTGAGAATATATATCCTTGTAAAAACCACAAATTTACAAATTACAAGATTAAAATGCTTGGAACATAGGTAAAGAAAAAAAAATTATTGGTTATAATGGTGTGTGAGAATATATCCTTGTACTATTCATTCTTTGACAAAGTTAAACTTGTAAAAATCAAATGAGTATTGGAATGCCTATGTTGTTATCATTTGCATGTACTATTCATTCTTTGACAAAGTAATTTGCAATTTTGCATGATGAATAATGCCAACAAAGGATGAATTTTTCACTAGCTCTAACTGAAATTATTGCAATTATTACCAATCTTTATTTAAAGAGAGATATATTACTAAAAGGACATTAAAAAGCAAAAATAACTAGTATAGTAGTATACTATGTCTCATATCATGACGATGACACACCTTTCGGTTGGAGTAACTTTGATCCTCATTGACGGCTGTCCTTTTATGTAATTTAGCTGACATATCTACCAAAATAAAGATATTATTAGTATGACAATTATACATAATTTGAATAACAAAATATACATTTCAACTACACATAATTAAGCATATTTGTTTTTTCTAGCTATTTGTTAAAACTTACAATGTTTTGGTTTGGAATGAGTAGTAACTACAGCAGTAAGCAACACTAACATAAGTAATACCAACATATAGTACTTGTAGACACCAAGTGAGAATTTCATGTCTTTGCTCTTTTAAGGAAGAAAGTGAGAAGTAATTTTTTGGAAATATGGACTATATTTGGTAGTTAGATCATGTTGGAGGACCAAAGCATGAGGTAATGAAAGATATATATATATATATATATGTCTTTATTGACAAATGAGGGAATGAGGGCATTTAAATGTAGAAGGTACATTTACATGTTTCATTTCACATGATACATGCCCATGGCTTGATGCTCAAGGTCTTTTTGTTATACCGTGTCAGCATTGTGTATGTTTGATTTTAATTTGTTAAATTTTCACCAAATTAAATAAAATTTGCATAACTAATTAAAATTTTAAAATATATAAGCTAATTATGAATAATGTAAACCGCTCACTAAGGCCTTTGATAGTACATAACTGTTAGAGATATGATATATCGGAAAATATATGTGATATATTTTCCGTATAAATATTGTTATGAGAATAATATATTTAGTATATCTTATATGTTAAGATATTATTTTGAGAATATATCTTTAGGGTTTATGGTTAAACGTATATCTTTTAGGAAGATTGTTTTCTATCTTATGATGAGCTTATGTTTTGTATAAATACTCAACCTATTGATGAATAATAATCAAGCTATTCAATTCTCTCTTCACCCTAATTTGTCATGGTATCAAGAGCAGGTTAAATCTTGGGACCGCTCACAAAATATTCCCCCCCCTGCCGGTGGGTTAGAAAATTAAACCCACCGGTGGGATTCAAAATTTTGCTTCCGCTATACAATATTAATACTCTTTAAATTTTTATTTTTTTGGGTTGGTACACGTTAATCATATGTGTATGTGAATTTTTTTTTGGGAGAATTTTTTTTTGTGGGAGTATGTGGGTGGACTTCCTCCACTATAACACATCTTTGGAGATGAAGACATTAAATAGTGTTATGCTTGACGCAATATTAAAAAAAAAAAAAAGGTCTCTCTTGTGTCGTGAGACAAGATATATTTGGTTCTCCTTGTGCCGTGAGACAAGGTTTGTGAGTTGATTCGAGCATGATTTTGCTCCTTTGGATATGAGTGTGGTTTACTCTGAAAGACCAAGAGATTTGAGTGTGGTTTACTCTAAAAGACCAATAAAAGATTTGAGTGTGGTTTACTCTGAAAGACCAATTAGAGATTTGAGTGTGGTTTACTCTGAAAGACCAATAAAAAATTTAAGTGTGGTTTACTCTAGAAAAACTAATATTTGATTGGAGCTCGGTTTTGTTCTGGAAAAATAAAAAATTGTTGCAGGTTCGAAAAGAATGACGTTCCTGTTTGATTGAAGACTGATGAGTTCGAAAAGATGAACGTTCTCATCATTGAAGAAAATTTTTTTTTTGAAGGCGGCATCACAACAGTGTGCATCTCGGCTTCAACAATTTGACGAATTTCCAATCGCAACGTTCGTGTTACTGCCGTTACGATTGCGGGAGGGTGTTAGAGATATGATATATCGGAAAATATATGTGATACATTTTCCGTATAGATATTGTTATGAGAATAATATATTTAGTATATCTTATGTTAAGATATTATTTTGAGAATATATCTTTAGGGTTTATGGTTAGACGTATATCTTTTAGGAAGATTGTTTCCTATCTTATGATGAGCTTAGGTTTTGTATAAATACTCAACTTATTGATGAATAATAATCAAGCTATTCAATTCTCTCTTCACCCTAATTTGTCAATAACCTACTAAACATTTAAATACATAAGGCTGCAAATCATGAGGGTAATATGCTCTTCTTGTGTTGGCCTTTGATGGTTAAGGCCTTGTTCTCTATCAGTTTATTTTCAATTCAATTCAATTCAACTCTAATTAATAAGTTTAGTTCAGTTCAGTTCAATAAATGAGAACAGTCCCTAAGTGACTTAAGTCTGCCATGTTTACACCAAATAAGTTCAAGTAAGGCTTAGATTACTTTACCTTAAAAAATATTTCCTAATTTTGTTTATATTTCCTGATTTTGAAATTTTGAAATACTTATTTTCAGTAGTTTTTTTAATTTTATTTTATTTCTTAACTTTGTTGTTTGATTCAATAGATTGAAATGGAATACCTAGATTTCGTCAATATACAATGCTTTGTGAAGTGTACAGATTCTTAAATGGACCTGGTTCACACTAATTTATTGTGCACCACTGACATTAGAGACAATATGACTGTTTTATTAATAAAAAAAAGGTCACTATATTAAAATAAAGGTTATTATGTTGAAATAAAAGTTAGTGTGACATTATAAAAGCTATAACAGCTTAACTTTTTTAATGAAAATTTTAATATAATGGTCAATATGAATAATAAAGATTATAATGTTAAAATTAGGTTATTATTCAACATAATTTCGTACTTTAAATTCATAATAATATTAAAGGTCATACATGTTTTAAAAAAGGTTACTATGTTAAAAATAAGGTTACTGTAATATAATTAGGGGTCAATATGTTGAATATAATGCCAGTTACGTGTGTATAAATCTTAGGTCCACAATAATATTGTTGTGGACCAGGTTCACGCAAGATTTGTTGTGTGAAGTGAGATATTAATTGTAAAAGGAAAAATGAGATAGTATTTGTTGTGTTTAGATGATCTGATTTAGAATTTTCACTCATTTATCTCAAAATGAGCAAAATCTAATAAGTATATTTGATTGTTAACAAAAGTTCTATAAATTTGAATAATTAAACTAATTTTTTTATGTTAGTTTTAATTGAATTTATAAAGTTTCTTATTTATCTCAAAAGAAACAAACATATTATGAGTCAGTTTAGTTTAAATGAGATAGTCTTTTGAAATTTTTTGCTTATTTATTGGTCACGAAATGAGCCAAATCTAACAAGTTGGTTGTTCTAACTTTCAAAACTTTTGCCTCAAAAAAAAAAAAAAAAAAAAAAAAAAACGAAATTGCTAGTGGCTATACCTAATAAGAATAACCGGTTATATGGTATATGAATTAGGCAAAAGCTAATGAGCGCCCCCGGGGCGTTAGATAAGAGAATAAAAGTGTAAATATTAGAGTAAAATTAACATTAATTACACCGAATGACGCGTGATTTTGTCATGAATTCCTAACTTAATACCATTTCAACCAATATAATTTATCCTTATTTAACGCCTCGGGGCGCTCGTTAGCAAGATCGCATGAATTATTGTTTTATTCTGATACAATAATGGTAGATGTAAAAACAATTAAATTGGAGTAATATATAGTGGGATGGGTAAAAGTATGACAATGTTTACTGTTAAAGTCCTTAAAGTCCTAAAAGATAAAAGAGTATAATTAAATGGCCTGGTACAAGCAATAAGAAAAGATTGAATGATAAAATGAAGTAAATAAATACAGTGCAATAAATAGTTCAAATTTTAAAGACCCTGAGCACAATTCACAAACAATCATCCTAGTGGCTCAATAAATTTTTTTTTTATTTTATTACTACGTATTTTATTTTTTTGTGTTTTTTGTTGTTGTTGTTGTGTTTTGTGGGAGCATCTCCTTGAAATATCACTAAAACTGAAATGCTAGTGGAAGTTGTATGTTCTTAGCTATGACAAATTAGTAATTAATTAAATAAAATAATTGCACCATGTATCTAAGGGTGATAATCGAGCCAGCCAAAATTGAGCCAAGTATGGCTCATTAAACTTTAATTTGAACTCAAGCCATGTTTAGATTAAAATTTCACATTCAAATTACCATCAAATCAAATTTATGTTGATTATCAAAATTGTAACTTCTTTAATATTTTTGCTAAAATTCTTGCCCTTATTAACAATAATGATTTACTCCATAATTTTTATTTGGAGGCGAACTATGTTGTGCTTAATTCATGAACAATCAAGCTGAGATTTAATAGTCCATGAAATATTTAGGCTCATTAGCACTCCTATAAGCACCCTCAGTGAATCATATAGTGCTCTCATATTTGAAAATACTCATTATGTAATTCTATCATATAAATTGTCTCTCTTACTAAGATTCACTTTTTTTTTTTTTAATTTTCTTCTTGATTCTTATTTAATACAACATAGAGGTTTGGAGGAGAAACATATAAGAATCCATTTTAATTGTAATTAATTAAGTCCGGACTCACACAATGCTTCACACCTTCTCACAATATTTGTGCTCAATGTCGTCATTCATGTCACCAAAAAGTACTTGACATGAGATGGATGTGGTTTATTTATGGAAATGCTTCTTATAAACGTGAATTTCTGAATCAATTCATGGTTTATGAAACTTACAACATGTCTGACTCAATTTATGGTGATATTCTCGTCTTGTTTGCATTTGCAAATTCTCAAGGCTTCAGGCTTCCCGCCTTTTTTAAAGCATCCCATGTAGCTAGTACACTTGTAGTACCGTTACACTTCAATTCAACTTGCTACTAATTTAATGCAATATATATTATGTAGGTCCAAAATCTCCAAATTTATTCCAAAAGTATTTATGTTTTGTAACACTACTGTGCCATTTCTTCTATGTAATGCAATTCAGTGTAGAATCATATCAATGTATCATGGAGATTTGGTATAATACAAGTTCAATGTCGACCACGTAAATTAAAATTCAATTGCCTATGGATGAGATCAAACAACTGCTTAGTCAATGTATCAACCGTACAACAAATTATGTTGTAATTATCAGTTATCAACCACTTATTGAATAACTAGAGTTTCCAACGCGCGCGATGCACGCGATATAGCTAGGCTTTTGACAAGAATTAATACCAATGTTCTTTATGCCTTATGCTTGTTTATGTAAATATTTTATAAAAATTATTCACATATACACGTTAAATGTGTTAGATGTTGTGTGGTTGTGCAATGTTCTAAACTTTTTTTTTTAAGGATGTTCTAAACTTTAGTTAGACTACTTTGTAATACCCTAAATTTTCTATTTTAAGTTTCGAGGACAAAACTTGTTTTAAGGAGGGTAGATTGTAATACCCGAATATTTTATGATATTATATTGCATATTTTATAAAAAAAAATAATAGTTATTTTTATTTATTAAATAACTTTCCTAATTTCATGTTTATTTTATTTATACT